GCTTGCGAAATTTGCAAACAGATCTAAGAGAATAATTCTGTGATTGGCGATACGCGAATCCGCTTACGCACGATCCGCTGCATGGGACATCACCCTTATCGTTAACTAGTCAATTACAGGACAATTTTGGAAGAAAACGCGGTTGTCATTGGCTGTCGTTAGTTAACGATAGCGACAATTGTCAATGGTCGCGTTTAGCAGACTCAACTGTTGCGGAGCGGATCCGTGAGCGCTCGCTGCTATTGGTATATTCTTCTACATCATCCAATAGCAGCGAGCGCTCACAGATTCGCTCCGCAATAGTTGAGTTGTTGAACGCGACCAATAAAATTGAAGGAGATGCTAAACCGATTACCCAACTCAATCAAGGTCGATAGTACAGACTTTTTAAATTCCAAATTCGATAATAGTGGTGACATCTTTGATTTAGTTTTTACATTATATTATATAATATATGTATATCATTCTGTCTTAGGATCCACGCACAAAGATGGTCGGAACTGTTTTCGATTGAATCGTAATCGTAGGGAGGGCTCCGATTGCACACATGTATCGCTGATTGGTCAATTTAAAAATAAAATAATCTCATTGACTGCGTTCAGCAGACTCAGCAGTTTTGCAACCGTTTTATGATTCGTCGTGTTGATTGGTTTATACTTTTAGATTTAAAGGAATAGTCCAATCTGAGAGAAGAATCATGAAACGGTTGCAAAACTGTTGAGTCTGCTGAACGCAACCATTGGCAAAACAGTACAAAATTACTAGGCACCAGTTGATATGAGTGGTGTGTACAATCAGAACTGTAGGCAAACGGGATTCTCCCGTAATCGTAAGTCGTTGTCGTAGGGCAACGCACAATGATTTTACGTATGTCGTTTACGTATGTCGTAAAATCATTGTGCGTTGACCTATGACAACGACTTAGCCCGGATCCTCATACGGGCAATAGCGCTTTGACACAGAGCGCTAATTGGTGAAAAGCCGGTTGTGGGGATAAAATTTACCCCCATCACCCATTTTTCATCAACCACGATCATCACCACGACATCATTCAGCGACCCCAAAACCCCCCCGAATACCGAGTTACAGCTGAAATTAGCAACTTTTTATTTTTTTGGTCGCCATATTGGATCCGCCATCTTGAATTTCACAATTTTATATTCAGATTCGTAATCAGCGACCCCAGAAACCCCTCAATACCGAGTTTCAATTAAATTTAATTACTTTTCCTCGTTTTATCTGCCAATGTTGGAATCGAAATTTTGAATTTACCCCTTTAATGCGTCAGAACTAAGACGCCATTTTGAATTTCGAAAGGTGCCACGCGTCTTTCGAAAGCTCTTTTCATTTTCCGCGGTCAAACGTTCAAATCCGTCCATACCAATTTTGGACAGAGGGGGGTCTTCCGTTGACGTGGAATGCCTCATATATATGATGCGTCCGGCGAAACGCTATTAGCGCTACTTCTGTTATTCTATCTTCGTTGTTTATTAGATGTAAAACAAGGATAGAACTGCTAAATTCTTCACACTGGATCCAACGTGCGTTTTCCGACGTTCTGCAACTAACATATGCTGGATTCACACTGT